TACCCAGACTAATACAATACATTTCTAATTCTAATGATATTGCAAGAAGAAGAAATGATAAAAGACTATTTCAAATGGGATTGTGCCTATGTCCATTTACTTATACTTTCCTAATTCAGCAGAGGCCATCTCAAGTTAATGGTACTACCTAACCAGAATTAATGCAAACTTTTTTTTTGTTATAATAGCCCATTAGGACTATGATCAAGGACGTCTTTGCAAGCTGTGTGTACTCAGATTCTGTCATCCTAGTGTTTGGGCTTTTTAGGTGCCCATGTCCTCAAGTCTAAAATTTCTAGAGTGGAGCTGCTAGTCAATCTTTCTATGGCTTCAATTCACTCATTTCCATTTTGAGATGATGCTTAACTGAACATATCGTTAGAGATGGAAAGTGCTTTAGTTAAGTATGACTAATTTTTTCCCTAACCCTGTACGTAATCTACTAGAGTCAGGGGATATGGGCAGCAACTATACCAAGTCATAGTACAAAGATAAATCATCAGTCCTCACTTTAAGTGCCCATAGGCCACCAAGAGGAGAATCTACAAAGAGAAGTATACTTATAGTCTGAGGATCGAAGTGCAGATTGGAGACAGATGTAGTGGACTATGTACATATTGTGTTCAGTGCTATTGCTTTAGCCTGGCTTGGGATCTTTATGCCAATGCATGTTGATTCTGTGATATTGGGCATCTTCATTAACTCTCAGAACCTCTCATTTATAAATACTAAACTGGTAATATTGGCAATCCTGTGCTTTTCTCTAAGAATTGAAGACAGCAAAATTTTAGTTTTGGTGAGCCATGCAATCTCTGATTAATGGAATGAGAAAGTTACAGACAACAACACTTAAACAAGTGGACAAAGCTGTGTTCCAGTACAACTCTATTCATGAAAATAAGCAGAAATCTGAGAATTTGGCAAGCAAATCAGAATTTACAGATTTCTGTGCTAGCAGGAGGAATCTTTGTGTGGTGCAAGTGTTTAAAAAGTTCAGCAGGTAACTGTAAGGGTGTATGTTTGGTTCACCCAGGAATGTCTAGGAAAAAAGCAAAAAAAGGCCTGGCAGTCTACTTCAAAAAACTCAGATATTGAAAACACCGGGGGCACAGTTCTGGGCTGACACACATGGGGTTACCACATGTAGATTGAATTGTGCTAGAAGGAAGTAAGCCAGACTATAAACCTTGGCCTTAAGGAATCACCAGACTCCCAGTATAGTCAATTACCCAAATGAAGGATTATTTGTCTGATTCCTATTCAAATTTCTGCTTACTTATCTGATATTGTAGTAGATATCCAGTTAAGTTTCCATTTAATTTCTTAGGTCGTCCCCAGGATAGAGTGACAGTGTCCTTATCAACTCTGATGACCTTGAGAAAAGCTGGCTGTTCAGGTACTAGAAGACAAGACCATTGTAAACATTCATAAGTTAGTAAATTAAAAAAAATTATATTAGATGAAATATTTCTATATTAAAATTGTAATGCTAACTGGTATCAGTTATGCATTAATTAACAGTAGGGGATGCCTTATTTGGCTCTTGGCTAATTTTTATTGCTGGAATTTTTCTACCTTGTTACTCTCTCACCTCCTTCTGGAGTTTGAAATACATGAGGCTCACTTTCTGGACCAGCTCCTTTGGAATTATAGGCTAAGATGGTTAAGTAAAATTCACTAAAGGCCTCTAAGGAAGGAACCATTCCATAAGTCCTTGGTCCTGGAAATCGGAGGATGTTTTCCTTTTTGGGTTGTGCCCTTCCATCCGACAGACTTTTTGTTTTCCACCAAGTAATCTGCAAGGAAAATAGTAAAGCTTAAATACATCAACCATGGTAAGAATCTTTCACATATCTACCAGCTAAGACAAGAAATACACTAGTTCAACAGTGAAAAGAACAAACAATATAAGAACCTGATATCCTTTCAGATGTCCATGCACTCGGTCCTTTGGAATTGTTGACCAGGTAACTTTAACTACAGTGCTGTTTATAACATCCACTTTTTGAATCACTGGAGCTATATCAGGATCTGTTAAACACATAAAA